GCTGCCTTTCAGACAGGTACCTTTTATTTGATGCCTGTATCTTCCCTTTGTTAAGGTGCAACTTGAAGTAGGGTCAAGGTTTTTGTGGTATAACAAGCAGACTCCACACAGCGAGGAGTCTGGTCATCACCTGAAAAGTTTTCTTCTCTTCTCCTTCTGTGCTTCAGTCCCTTTTTCCTGGAAACAAACCTGCCTCTATATGAAGCCAGTTGATTTCCAGTTGCACCATTTCCAGTTGCTTCTGAAGTTCAGATGCAATACATTATCTAGTCCTTTGCGAACTTCTCTGATTTGTGGGCACAGTTACCAAGCTTCCCCACATGTGAAGACAGGTACAAAATAGCAGAGCTAAGCAGATAGTGGGTCTGTTCTTCATCAGCTCAGTAACTTGTCCACACTCCAGTCTTAGCACTTATGTTTCAAAAGCTGGTCACAGGCCCTTGGAGTCATTCCCAGGTAACAGAACTGGAAATGATAAATCCCCTAATGCCAAGGGTCTAGTGTGTTCTTAGTGGTTATACTGGGAAGTGTATGGAGATTTAGGTGCTGCTCTGCTCTGGATGGCTGAAGGCTCCTGGGCCATCTTTATGTGTTGCTTGAAGAGCTCCTCTTTTGTACTCTTGGCTTGAATGTTGTGGAACAAATACAAAGTGAAAAAAGTTCTCTGTAGCTTTCTGAAGTGCATATTCATTGATGCTAAAGAAAAAAATAAGTTGTGGTTTTTTGTTTTGTTTTGTTTTTTGAGACAGAGTTTCGCTCTTGTTTCATAGGCTGGTGTGCAATGGCGCGATCTTGGCTTACCGCAGCCTCCGCCTCCTGGGTTCAGGCAATTCTCCTGCCTCAGTGTCCTGCGTAGCTGGGATTACAGGCATGCGCCACCATGCCCAGCTAAGTTTTTGTATTTTTATTAGAGACGGGGTTTCACCATGTTTACCGGGATGGTGTTGATCTCTTGACCTCGTGAGCCACTGCGCCCGGCCTAAGTTGCGTTTTTGAAGTGATGTTCTTTGCTGTCTTCTTAAACACAAGGCTTTTTAAAATGATTAATATATTTCTTGGTAAGTAAAATAGCCTGTCTGGCTCAAAGCAGTTAATAGAATGGAATGGTGAGTACAGATGGGAGTACATGTCAGGATTCAGGCCTGACGACTTGTTTCCTGAGCCTAAAGATTGCAGCATACCCAGGAACACACACTCCTATTCCTACCTCACAGGCTCAGGGACAAGCCCAACTAAAGCTTACAAGGAGACAGGGGTGCTTTGTCCAAGTGAGAAGCCAATTACAGAACAGTGCATTAAGAGCCATGGTAGGAGAGGCCCACAGTTCTCTGGAGCGTGCAGCAGGGGCACCCCACCTGGTCTTGAGGATCAGGGGGAGTCAAAGGATAAAGCATGGGGCTGATGACTTCTGAGGGAGCGTGATCCCCAGGTATGGCCTCTGCCCACTGTCTCACACATCCCTTCTGGTGGGTCACTTAGGCTTGGGAGTACACGTCACCTCAGACTATCATCATTCCTGGCACAAATACTCCAGGCTCCCAGCCCAAAGTGGGAGCCTTGCTACTGGAGCACAAAGACAATGAATGAAATGCGAAATGGAGAAGTCGTTAGACCCTGACCCTGAGTCCTTGCCTGAAAGCTGCTGCTAGTGTTCTTAACTGTTTTGGACTCTATTTCTTATCCTTTTCCTAATTAGCCAAGTAGTAACTTAGGAAGTAGGTAAGAGCAATGAATGTGATATGTTCACAGAATCATAGTAGGAGGTCATGGGAGTAAAAGTCAGTGGCTTGATGCTTCTGTTAAGAGGCATGTGTCCCTCTCAGCCTTTTTTCTGGTTAATATTTTACTTTATTGGAGGAAGCAGCACACCAGAAAAAGTGACTGAAGAACAGCAAGGTTGAGTTTGATTCTAGGCCTAAAGAAGGTCTTCCAAAAAAGGAAGACTCTACCTGGAACAGTAGTCTCAAATGTTCGTGGGCATCAGTATTACCTGCGATGCTGGTTAAGCTGATTTGAGAACCCTACTCTTAGACAGTTTGATTCACGAGCAGGTGTGGTATTGCCTCAGGAATCTGCATGTTTAACAAGTCCTTCGTCAGTCACATGGGGCTCCTGGGCACCCCTAGAGATGATCTGGCCTAGAGTGTCACGTGTTTACTCTGTTTTGTTTTTAAACAGAGTAAAGGTTGAAAGGTTTTGATGGGAGGTCAAGTGTGCTGTCCACTCAGGTGGTGCCCTCTTGTGGCCCTGAAGGCATTCGACTAAAGTAGGCCCATTTTGTGAGATGGGCAGGTGCAGCCAGAATGGATGGATGGATGTCGGGTCACAGAGACAGGCATACTAGACATGACCGTGTGACATAGATGAGTCATTGAGCTTGAAACACGTTGGGAACATGGCAGCATGTGGGCACCAAGATCTTCCAGGACAGCAGCTACCTAACGCAAATGACCCTGTTCCCTGCTAAGGCTGTGTGGTGAGATGCCATCATAGAGGGGCAGCTGTGCTGAGTGAGCCCTGGGCACTGTTGGTGAATATGTCCACTTTTGGAATGGAATCTCCCAGTGGGTATGGACATGGGCAGACTGAGAGAGGTCTGGGTACTGTACTATGTTTTCCTCTGGCTCTTGGCAGCCTCTCCACCACCAGGTGCCTAACAGTCCACTGGAGGTTCCTAATCAACGGCAGCTGCTGTTGCTGGGAGTCCCTGGGGTCTGCCACTCTTTCCCATGGCCTCTGTCTCAGCGCCTCCTGGGATGTAAGTGCTCCCCCGTGGTCCTGCCTTGTGCGAAGCACTGGCCATGTTATGTTGACTGAGATCACTTAAGCCAGTCTAGACTTTTTTTTTTGTTTTTGAAGTTTTAGGTTCAGCACAATTGTCAATGCTTCAGTTGGCTCATGCCCATCACCTGAAGGCCATCAGTGTCAATTAAGATGCCTCTCTCTCTATCTCATCCCTTCACACATTTAAGGAAAGGTGATCACCACACCTACCTTCATTTGCGCAGGGAAACAATCGCACTTCCCTTCGACCATAAAGCTCGAAACTTGACTGCTCACAAGAGCCTTGTACGCAGTCACCCGTGGAGTAAATGCCAGGCGTTGCAGCAGACCCTGGAAATCCTAAACAAAACACAATTCTTACTTTAGAGGCCTGTGGCCCTGTTCTGAGGTTAAGAAATGTGCCCTTTCAGTGTGGTTTCCCTGCTCTGTCTCAGCGTGAGCTCCATCACAGCTGCACTTGACTCCTAAGCACTGTGTGGGCCCGTCATCAGCAGCCAGCCGTGCAGCCCCAATAGGACCACCACTTTTCCATCAGCCTCTAAAATGCCAGTGTTCCCATGGTGCTGATGTGTGAGGCACATGGCTGTGTTCTGTTGACTTGAATATTGTTTGAAGGGTTTTTTTGTTTTGTTGAGACAAAGTCTTGTTCTGTCACCCAGGCTGGAGTGCAGTGCCACCATCTCGGCTCACTGCAATCTCTGCCTCCCAGGTTCAAGTGATTCTCCTGCCTTAGCCTCCCCCAAGTAGCTGGGATTACAAGTGTGTGCCACTATGCCCAGGAAATTTTTTGTATTTTTAGTAGAGACAGGGTTTTGCCATGTTGGCCAGTCTGTTCTCAAACTCCTGGCCTCAGGTGATCCGCTCACCTTGGCCTCCCAAAGTGCTAGGATTACAGGCATGAGCCACTGCACCCAGCCTGTGTTTCAAGTATTGAAGTCATTTTGTTTCAAAAAGTTTTTTTAATTTGAGTTTAGCATACAGTGACCTCCACACTCTTGTACACCAGTGAGGAAAACCATGCTGAGCAGTGTTGCTGAATGCCATGCCACGCACTCTAGGCAGGACATTCACCAAGCTCTTCCATCCTCCCATCCACGGCTGAGGAATCCCAGCAGGGCTTCCTTAGTCTGCCAAAGGCAGGAACTGCTGGACAGCTGGAGTGTGACTGTGTCCCCAGTGAGATCACTCACTTCCCTGTAGTGTGAAGTCGTGCTGACGTGAATTCTTGGGGAATGACTGCTTACATTGGAACCACTTCACTCGAGCCTTAGTCTGGCCCATGCAAGCACCTGCCCACTGGCCCTCAGCCCTCTGACTTGCCACATCCCCTGTACCTGGTCTGCCTCACAGTTTACAACTGGCAGCCAGAAAAAGTCTTCGTGGGGACATCCAGTTCCTGTCTCCTCTAATCAAAGAGGGATTCCTTGAGGTGGCAGCAGATTGGAAGGTGTTGGGGAACCTTTAGAAGCCTTAAAAGGGAAAGGAATTAGTAAAGTGGGACTTGAAGAAGAGTGAGATTCCCACGCTAGGGCAATTTACCTAATCTCCACCTTTGTTCCTCTTTGGATTGGTCTCAGAACTCTGCTGGCTTCTGACCATCTTTTAGTCTGGAGATAACTGAGACCTGGAGGGGCCACCCAGGGATGTTCCTAACTGGTGTGGGGTGGAGCTGGGGGTGAAATGTGGCAGCTAGATGTTGTCAAAGGTCATTCTAGTTCACCTTAAGTTCTTGCCTTTAAACGGCTTTCTGAAAATCAGAAGCCTGAGAGATCCAGTCCCTGCACCCTCACCCCACTTCCTACTCCCACAGCCATAGCAAGTACAGGGTGGGGATGAAGGAAGATCTCATACCCCTGACTCTCAGTTCTGCCTGGAGGCTCCCTTCCTATCAGCCTTTCAGCAGAAGGGAGACTAGGGAAATGAGTGTGGATTTACTCTCATGAGCGTGTCCCATCCTTCCCCGTTAGTCGATTGGCAACTCCTAAGGGGGAGAGATGGGACCCACTCATGAGAGTCGTGTCCACTCAAAGCATGTTGCTGTTTTGCTTCTTCCTCCAACTCCCCCAGGAGGAGGAAGAAGAAAAACAGCAAAGGGCTTTGAGTAGGGGACATACCACTCAGGCATGAGAAGAGGAACTTCGTGGAGCACACACCTGAGGAACTCGGTTTTTGACCCGCCCGTTTATGACAGCACCACTTAAGCAGAGACAGGACGCTTTGTTTTGAGAATTAGGACAGTTTATTGTTTGACCAACATGCTGAGTCTTTTCCACATTTTACACAGTTTAATGTGAAGTCAACATGGTGGCTATGTTTTCTGAGCCCGTAACAGATGGAACTGCCACCCTCTGTGCTCCTCACAGCCAATCACTTTAAAGGGATGGGTGAGGGGAAAGTGAGGGGAGAAGTGGACACACACCACGAGATGCAGGCTGGCCTTCTATGCTGCGGAGTCTTCCCGCCTCCTGAAGAAACCATCTAAACCCCTGCTACAAGGATTTCCTAATGAAACCACGTGCTGCTGGGAATGTCAACCAGACAGGGGTCTGGAGTCCAAGGAGTTTGCACATTGGGATCCCAAGGCTTTGGAACACCTAAATAGTTCATGTCAAAAATTCAAAGAGTGTCCTGATCAGTGTGGGTGCCCATGACAATGAGAGTAGACTTGGGGACTGGCCCTTCTGCAGTAGAGGAGCCCAAAATACCACCGATATTCTCACTCAAATGCTGGGAAGAACCTAGTGTCCTAACCAAAGTGCAGAGATGGTCTGAGGAACACACCCATGCACAGCAGGTCTTGCTTTGTAATAAATATGGAGTCACATTTGTTCACACACAGGGCAGCAATGGATGAAGAGTGGAAACACATTGTTCGGATCATTCCTAACTTGCTGGGGAATCCTAATCAAGTCGCCCTTCTCCATCCTGGTTTTCCTGCCTGTAGACAGAAAGTTATGAGAGCTCTGCCTCGCACAGCTGTAACAAGGTGACAATGCCTCATATTCTTTGGGGAGAGGTAGTTGGAAAGGCGTGGGCACAAAACCTGCTTGGCTGATGCACACGGACATACTTCTGTTCAGCTGCACCTTATGTGGCTCACACACGCCTCACCGTCCTCGGCTCCCTGGTCTCATCTCATGTCCTGACATCCTCACCTGCCTTTCAACCTGTGAAGGAATGAGGCTGCTCTACCTGAAGGACGCTGAAGCTAGCAGGGCCATCCCTTTATTATTGATACAACTGGTACCCAGGGCAGAGCCTCCCGACACTGGCTAGCCACCAGGATGATGGAGACATTGCACCCCAGATGTTTCTGCACCTTAGCTACCACCATTTCAATCCTTGTTTCTGTTGCCAGAGACACAGAAACTAGTCTGGGCATTGCTCCCCCCAGACCTGGGAACATTGCTCCCCCCAGACTGAATGTTTAAGGATGATGACAAGAGAGCAGCAATAGACAGCAGGGAGGCCTCTGACCAAAGGAAACTGTTGCCAACAGCTACAAAGACCACTAACCTTGGTCCACAACGGCAGCCACAGTGCTCATGATTCCGATGTCACACCTTCATAGTGATGTATGTATGATCACCCAGTAAGTTAGGAGTGATCAGAACCAATGTGTTTCCACCTGTAAATAGGCTGTTTGCTTTTTCCATCTTATGCTCAATCTTCCTGATGCCTGCAGAACAGGAGCTTCACTAATAGCTTTTGAGATTCACCCCCCTCCCACCCCGCCCTCTCAAAAAAGGCCGAAAGAAGAGGACCCTGCTAATCTGCCGGTCAGGTCTAGTCTTTGGGGAGAGGGACTGAATTACTCAGTTGAGAACATTTACTCAAAGGAATCCTCTGCTTTGCCCTCTGCTAACCCATCTGGATTCAGCAAAGATGCAATGCTCTTGCTGGGGTGCTGAGGCAATGCCATGGCATCTTCAAGAGCACCTGACAGTTTGTTATGGGACCTTAACTGTGCCAATCCTACCTGCAAGCAAGGGGACAGGGATGGTGCCTGCTCAAGACAAAAATCAGGGAACCAACCACTTCCCAAAAAGAGGTGTGGTGCCTTTCCAGACCCCAGGAGGGGAGGGATGGAAACCGCACCTGCGGACGGGAGCACCGCGAAACTGCGGATGTGGGAGGACAGGAGGAGGAAGCCCCCTCAGCCTCAGAGGCCAGCGGGCTGGGGAGAACCCAAACTCAGAGAGAGAATGTTGTGTGCATGCTAGGAAAGACAGGGCTCACTAAGGCCACGACAAGCCAAATGCCATCTTTTACTGCTCCTCTAGGCCAGGATGGAAAAACAGTCCATGGTGCCTTGGGTGTGTGTGCACATGAGAAGGGAACTGAGTTTCTACTGTGTTTTATAGGATGTTTTTTTTTTTTTAAAAAAAGCTAATCTTTAGTGCCAAGAAAATAAAAATCTACCGTACGTTCATTCACTGAGACCCAGCGCAGATCCCTGTAAATAGGGTGGTCTCAGAGGCCACAGGTGATGGCCTTCGCTGCCAGCCAGGCAGGATGCTGTCATGTGGACTCCTGTGAATTCTCTCGAGGTAAGTAAGCACTCTTCCAACAAGCACCACTTGGGGGTGTGCCCATGGTGGGGGGACACTGGCCCACGCAGGCATGCACACCCGTGCATATAAAGTACATAGAGAAATGGTGGAGATATTCCTGTGGGCTATGTTTGCCTGTAGTTTAACACAACTATGCATTATTTTATTGATGGCAAGACAATCACAAGTTATTTGACAATATTAAGTATTTCTTATTTCAACACGTTGCAGTACTTTTGAATTTCCAAAACTGTTATCACAATGCAAGTTCCAACTTGAGAGCAGGAGAAACAAGAATATACATTGAGCACATGTATCTCCGTGTGAGGATGTGTTTGTGGAAGGTGTATACACAAGTCTATCTCTATATATAGTTATGTACACACATATAAAAACTAAACACATGACATCTGAAACACGTTCAAACATTGGTCCTTGCCTTCTGGAAGAGGGGTTCAGTGGGATCCTGCTTCGTCTCTTCTTCACCTGAAGATAAATTCCTCTCTAGCGATGATCTCTGGCACACAGCCTCCTGGGCAGAGGACGTTTGGCAGGCCCACTGCGCAAGTCTCAGTACGGCCAGGTTCTGCTGCACTTACTGCCTGCCGTTTCAGATTAATTTCTGAGAAGTTTCAACATTCATTCCAACAACCTTGTGGAGTTCAGCCCACCATACCCCATATGGTCATTCATCCCATCTATGACATGCCCAGCAGCGGCCTGGAGGGAGAGCCAATGACAGCAGGGAGGGAGGGGCTGACATTTTGGCCAGACTCACTGTCCATTGCACCTGGCTCTGTGTAGGCTCAGGGCAGTGAGTCTGAGTATTTGGAATGCTGGCCAAGTGGGTTATATCACTTAGAGAGAAGAGAGAGAGTTCTCTTCAGAGACTTTTCAGGTCCTCAGGACTAAAACATTCTCAGGAATGAGTAAAAAATGGAAGAGATGGCTCTCTGGGGGCAAGTCCTAGTACCCCAGGAAGCCTTCTGGAGACCCCACCTGAACCATACCCTCAGGTGACCACAGCACAGCCCCAACAGCCACAAAGGGATGTCCACAAAGACTTCAAGTGTGCCATGCCAGTGGGGTGAAAGCGCAGCAACAGATCAGCTTTTCCAGAAAGTACTCGACAATATTAGCAGCTTAGGCTCTAAGAACATGGATCTTTCAAGGTGATGGTTCTACAGACAACCCTTCCCCCCAATCACAGAGGCTCAACTCCAGGTGGTACAGACTCCAGCTTCCCTGACACCCAGGAGGAAGGCTTCAGGATGCCACGCTGCCTAACATCACACACTGAGTTTCTTAGGGTTAGCCCCGCTGTGTGTGCAGACTGCCAGGTGGGCTGGTTAAAATGTTTTCAGAACTACACACGGAACCCCAGTCTATAACCGCGCACTGCACAGCTGCAATTGCCAACAGCACCCCCTCCTGATGGCCTCTTCCTCTGCCAGTCCCTGAGGGTACGGAGAACACAAAGTTGCCTGTACCCTCAACCCCTTCGAGGCTTTTCAGGGAAGGGGAAAGGGAAGTGAGAGCAGTGCCCCTGGGGCCTGCCGCCAGGCGGCCTAGAGCCCACAAGGCCTCAGTCTCAGCTCCACACAAGGTTGATGACCCACTCTGGGCATGGAAGGACAGAGTCAGAGCTACCTCTTCAGAGGCTGATGTGTTCAACCAATGTTTGATTTAACCGAGTAGGGCCTGGAGAGTGGAGCCAGATGGCCCTGGACTGGAGCCTAATTAAGTTGCTCAGTTAATTGTTTTAATTTATTGGGCTGGGGATGGGAGGAAGGCAGAGGTGATGAATGGTTCAAAGAGAACAGGAAGGAGGAGGTGTGTGGAAAAGGTTCTCTATAAGTTTACAAATATACAAAAACAAAAAGCACATCTTTCAAATAAAAATGACTACATTTTTATCTGGCAAAAAATTGTATACACATGATTTAAATTTTTTTTAAATTTTAACAGTTTTTGGCAATCTTAATAAAGTACAATATATTACAACCAAACCAAAAAATAGTCGTTTAAGTAACAGCTGTTAAGAGTGACGTGATCCCTGATGCCCAGCCTCCCTCCCCATCCCACCCTACTCCTAGAGACAGAGAGAAAAGAAAAATCCTCCCATCTTGATAACTCGGTTCCCTCCCCCCTTAGGAAGCTAGCCAATAGGAAGCAACACAACAAGCAAGGAGTGTCATGGGAAGCCGCAGTTCGGCTCTGCATTAGCAGGAGCAGCCGCCCTCGCTGGCCGGGGGCTCCTGGGGTTTGTCCAGTTTGATATCAATCACTGCAGAGGGATGGGCTAAGGAAGACGACTCTCCTGAAGAAGCTGCCACCCCGCTCAGCCCTGTGCACCGCACCCTTTGGCTACTGCTCTGTTTCTCTGCAAACACCGAGGGACTTGGCTCTTGGTTTGGGTGGGCTAGAAAGGATGCCACGCCAGCTCCCACTTTGCCTCCTCTTCCCTTCACCCATCTACTTCCCCCGATGCCTGTCCACCCAAGCAAAGCTTGTCTTGCCTGGGCCATGGGATCACCATCTATACCAAGGCCAGAGGGTCCCTTTCTCAGAAGCCTCCCCTTGACATGTGCTCCAACGCCAGTTCCCAGCCCTGCCCTCAGCTTGGTTACCTGCCAGCCTGCCTCAAAGTGCAATAGAGATGAAGAGCCCACCAGGTTCACATCTCAAAGCACAATGGTACATGGCCCTTGCCTAACTGGCAGCAGGAGCAAACCCTTCAAGCTTTAGTCAGAACACATCACTTAGATCCTGAGGATGGCCACATCCACGGGGCCTACACACAGCCCCCTTGCCAGCTCTTTCCACTGGTGCCCTCAGGGGCTGTGGCTAGAGAAGCACTTACCAGAACCACCAGAGGGACTGCTTCAAAATGCACAGCCAGGCTGGCCCTCTCCCTTCCTCACCGGCACAAAGCCAAGACTGTATTTGAAGTTTTAGCCTTGCATCAAACCAGACCTAATTATAGCTGAGGATCAGGCCCTTTGATACCTCACAGAATTGCTTTTCCTGGACAGGGCTTTGGTGCCGGCTGCAGGATTGCCCTAAGACAGGCATGTGCGGGGTGTGGTGGTATAAGCAGCGCTCTTACGGAACTTGTTGCTGACATCCTAAGGATACTTTTGTGGCTCCTATTTGAGGACAACGGGAGAGATTCTTTTGGTTTAAATACTATGAAAAGCCAGGCTTCTCCTGAGGTTCACATTTTTCTTTCCTTGCCTTGGCTGTTAGGATGCTCGGAGCCAACTTTTTGGCCACCTCTAACAACCAAGCAGCCACGGCATATATTTTGAGTATGACTTTATCTCTGACTTTTCTTCGCTTTTCCTACCTTTATTCTCCATATGTGCGTGTGTACGCACGTACACATACGACTTTATCTTGTTTGTATGTATACACACATTGCAGCATATAAAGGAGTAAACAGATAATCAGCAAATGCCTTTCTTCCCACTGCCCACTGCAGTCCACCTTTTGTTCACTCTACTCCAGTCAAACAGCCTACCTCTCTACTGCCTATCAATTTTGGCAAACCCACTTCCAGGAATGCCCTGCTGTTTCTCTCTGGCAGCTGTAGTTTTATGGCCGATGCTGGCAGCCCAGTCCCCTTCTGTATCACTGGCCTGGGCACAGGCCTCCTTGAGGTCTCCCGGTCTTCTCTGAGTGCCCCCCTGAGCCCAGCCAGCTCTCTCTCAGCATGGTGGCTTCCCAAAGCCAGCTCGGGTGACAATCATGTCACATTCTGCCACAGAAACAAAGTGTCCATGGGTTTCTCATTCAGGCCTCCCCTTGCGGAACACTAGCTCATCCCTTTCCCTCGATCACACACCCGAGGCCCCACGAGACTTTCTCCTGCTTTAAACACGTCCTATGCTTTCCTTCTTTCTTTTGTTCATGCTGTTCTTTCCTTCTAGAAGTGATGCTCCCTCCCTGCACGCAGCCTTCCTCCTCATCTCTACCTGTACAAGTGTCCTCCTTCTTAGGTCCAGGGTGCATGCACTAGTGGCCTCTCCTGTGGAGCCCTTCCAGGCGGTGCTGAGCACTTACTGTGCTGAGCGCTGTAAAGACGCTACCTTACTTCCACATGAGACCCCGTGCAGTGGGAAGTGAAACGGCCACCTGCCAGCTGGGAAGCTGAGGCGCTCAGGCACAAACCCAAGCCTATCCAACCCCAGCCTTCTACTTTCAATTACCTGACTGTGCTAAGCCCCTTGTGGACTGGCTTCTCAAGCTCAACACTACTGACATTTTGGGCCAGACAATTCCTTGTGATGGGGGCGTCCTGTGCACATAGGATGTTCAGAAGCATCCCTGACCACTATCTATGAGATGCCAGGTAAACCCCATTCCCTTTCCCCAATTTATGATGAGCCAAAGCGTATGAAGATATTGCCAAATGGGGAGGGCAATATTAATCCTGGGTAAGAAACACTGGTCTAGCTCAAAGGTCGGCCACTGTTACGACATTATGTTCTGCCCAGTTGAAGGTACCTGACTACCATTAAAAAAATCTCATGCACAACTGGAGTCAGAATACTTTCATACACTGCACAGCAGCAGTTCTCAAATGGGTTGCATCAAAATTTTCTGAGATATTTATTTAAAAATATGTCTCGCTGGGCCCTACCTTGGTAGATGTGGGGATGGGCCCCAGATGTGTGTTTTTAAAAAATTTCTTTGGAGAGTCCCAATGCAGACATCCAGGAAACCAATTCTGTTCCAGCACTGTCCAAAGAACTGTCTGCGATGACAGAAATATTCTATATCTGTACTGTCCAAGGTCTCACCATTAGCAACATGGGTAACTGGGCACTTAAAAGGATGCTAGTGCAAGTGAGGAGCTGAACTTTTAATTCGACTGAATTTTAACTAGTTTAAGTCGGAATAGCTACATGTGGCTGCAGAATTGGAGAGCACAGGTCCAGCTCTTCCACTAGGAGCTTTCACACAGGCTCTCATTTAATGTCACCTCCATCCTCGTTATGCCACATGCTGCTGAACCGCAGTGCTCAGGGGCGGCTTGCTGACTGACATGATAGGGAAGAATGACTGGACCCATGTCTAAATGATGCCCCGGAAGAGGAAACTCAGGGTTTCCCATAAGCCTCAAGAGGTTTGATATGTGCCTTTCCGACAGGCACGGCCAGAGCTCACCCGCCTCTTCCCTCTGGGTCAAGTGTGGCCCATCACGAGCCACATTCAGTGTCCACTGTCTCTTGTTCCTGGAACAGTGATGGGTGGGCCGAGACAGCCTGCTACAAACTCACCCCCTACTGTTGGGTACGCTTCCCCAGTCCCAGCGCCTCTGACCCTACTGCAGCATAATCCTCTCTGTATCTGGAATCTCAAAGCACCCCACAGCCCCATCAGAGAGGGCAACAGGGCTGTGGAATCCAATTATTTGGATGTGGTTCCAGCTCTGAATTAAGGAGTTGGGAGGCCTTGGGCATGCTCTATCAAGTTTGGGGTATACCGTCCTCACTGCTTAGAGCCACTTCATGAAGTGCCCACAATACTGCTGTCCCTTTATGTAAGCCAGCTTTCTGCAGAAGGAGTGCAGGCCCATGCAATGGAGGCACGCTGTATTTGGGCAGAAAGTGGCGGTTGGGGAGTTATGTATGTAGACCCAACGAGGGGCTTAGGGCTCTACCATTTGGTGGCCCCTTGGCCTCTACTTTGCTGAGAGAGCAGGAGACCAGTGGAGGGTGCTGCTGGGCAGAAGTGTTGGCCAGAGCGGCCCTGAGGGGGGCCTCCTGTGTTCAATGTGAAGAAGGCAGCCCCCCATCTGGACCTGCAAGCAGGAGACAGAAACCTCAAGCCACACCTTCCCCAAGTCCTGTGCCGAGCAAGTGAGGCCAAGTGTGAACAGTTTATACATCGCCACAAAGCAGTGCTTCTGTGTGTTTTCTCTCAGTGTTGAACACAATTATGAACATGACCCCAAAGCACAAATCTTCAAAATACCTGGATTTGAACTATGAGTAAGCAGAAATGCCAGCAACCCACCCTGGCTGAAGCAGAGTGACGGCTGCCTCCACCTGGTCCCTCTGAGAGCTCTGGTGGCCGCTCCAGCATCTGCCTCGTGAGAGGATGGGAGTACATCTACCTAGATGAGGGGACCTCACAGCTAGAAAAAGGGACACAGGTCACATGGCCCAGTGCAGTGTGTTTACAACCTGCCCTGTATCCTTTCTATCAAGGGGCCTGAAGGTCATTGGTAGCTGGATGAGACACTAGGCACACTGTCACCCCACACTCAGCCCAGCCTGACCTGACTGTGGGCCCAGCCTGGAGCCCCCACAGTGTGACTCTGGGAGAATGTGAACGAAATGATCACCACTCACCCTGGCCAGTGTGCTGTGCCTTGAGAGCTGGCGGGATGGAAAGCAGGCAGTGCAGCCCTTCCCCTTGGTGGCAGGCACAGCGGGGATCTCCTGCACCTGGTCTGCCCCTCTCCCTTGGTCCTGCTCCTATGTTTGCCCTTCAGATTGGCTTCTGTATGTTCCTGGAACCTTGAAGGAGTCCCATGTGGCAGCTGATTCCATGGGGGCTCTCTTCTGAGCTCTGGAGCCTGGCTCTGCTACTGAGAGCTGGGGGGTGCCCTCGTCAAGTATCCGAGCCTCAGTCTCTTTATCTGTGATTGGAGTCTCATAACTGACCAACCAGGAGACACCCCTCAAACCCCCTCCTCTCGGCCGGTTTGTCTTCTGGGGACATACAGACCATGGGACTGCTGGGGCACCTGCTCCTTGGTAAGCTTTCCTGCCCCACCCCTAAGCAGGGTGAGTCTCAAGTCTGCTCTGAGAGCTCCTGAAGGAAAGCTGGAGAGGCCCAGCCTCTCTCCAGGCCTGTGTCAGGCTCCCTCTTGCTGCTACCCTGAGGCTCCCAGTGTCCTGCCCACCCTGCCCCGGCAGCTCCATCAGGCAGAAGGGGAGGAAGCAGCACAGCCACCACTCTGGCCCCTCTGGGCCTCCAACATTAAGCTGTGTGCTTCTCTCGCTTTTGATTCTCATCAGCCCGAAGGTGCCCTTCCATATTCCCAGGGCCCTTCTCTGATCTGTCAGAAGTGTCTGCCCTTAGAGGCCTGTGGGATCAGTGGGGGATGCTAGAGAGCTGCTGTGTAGGGACAGGTCCATTCTAAAGGATGCCAGCCAGGGATCTGCATGCCTAGTTTCTAGTGGCTAACTTAGGTGGCGACATCTGACTAGGTGCAGGGGAGGCCAGGTGTGGGCAATGCCTTCACAGTTTTCATCTGATACTCTCAAATGTCCTTGGAAGGATGATGTCCCAGAAAAAATAGGGCTGGATATGGAGGAAGCAAGCTTGAGTATGAACCCTAACTGTAACTTACATGCTGTGTGACACTGGGCAAACCAGACTACCTCTCTGAACCTCAGTTTCAGCCTCTAGGTGTCTCTTCAGGTTGGGGCTGGTTTGTGGGTGATGTGCAACTGTCCCACAGAGCAGCAGGGAGCCTCAAGGGCTGTGTAGGGCTGGGCGGAGAAAGCGGCGGAACATGGAAGGGGCCATCTGTTTGAAGTGGGAGCTGTCTCAAGTAGACTGAACCATGATGAGATCACATTACCAGTGACAGCCTTCCCTGCAGTGGAGACTCTGCCTGCATTCACAAAAGCCATACCATGCTCTCAGTAAAGAAGGGCAAAGTCGCTGTTTCTCACTCCCCACCGCACAGCATCACTCTGTGCACACCCCTTTGGTATCCTCCTGCTATTCTAGGAGAAGAAGTAAATGGTTAGAGCCAGATGGGAGCTCCAAGACCATGGGGTTCAGCCGCACCCTGTCTAGAGGATATCCTGTGCTGTTCGCACGGTCCACGGAAGGCCGGGCGGGGGACTGGTGAGTGTTTGGCCACTGCACTAACATATTCGCTGAATAAATGGCTCCTCCTATGCATCTTTTCACTCACTTGTCACAGGAAAAGGATACTCCCTTCTTTGCTTTTCTCCTGGACATTCTCCATTCCGGGTAGAGCTGACGCCACACGTCGAAAAAGCTGGAGATGAAGAAATGCAGCATGAGCCCCCACCCTGGCCCTCCCCTCCACTCCTCACTGCGTCGCCACCCTCTGCCCTCTTCCTCTCCCAACTTGCAGCTTTACTCTCCCATCTGCCCATCTGAAGGGCAGGGGCTGTGCCTATGTTCTGTCTCCTATACCCACAGTGCCTCTCACAGCATTGGGTCTGGGCAGGCCTCAGTGTAAGCACGTGGAAGGAAGGAAGGAAAGCCATGGCCTCTTGCCCAGGCAGGCTGGCCGCAGCGTCCCTCGGTCAGGTTGGGGATGGTCTGTGGGAGATGTGAAACTGTCCCACAGAGCAGTGGGGAGCCTCAGAGCCTGTGCAGGACTGGGCGGGGAAAGCGGCAGGATGTGGAAGTCATAGCATGTGACGGCAGGGGACCTCCTCTGGTGCAGAAAATGGGCTGGGCCTCCAGGTGACAGGCCCTAAGGTGGGCTTCTGCACATAGCCCTTGCGGGGACCAGGTGTAGGGAACCGACTTGCCCTTGAGATAAATGAGTCTGTTCAGGGAGCCCTGCAAGTCCAGCGTCAAGGCAGCGAACAGCAGGGGCCAGGGCCGCATGGGCATAGTAGCGAGGCTTCTCTGAGAGCATGAGGGATGCAGGAGTGTGAATGCAATCTTGTGAGCTTGTTTGGAGGTGTGGGACTGTGAGCTGTTTATTTTGTGTAGGTGTGTGTGTTTTGCCTGTAGGGCTGCATGGAGAATGTGTGTTGTGAGTGGTGCGTGTGGGCAGGTGCATGTGTATTTGTGTAAGCATACGGGGGAATGTGAGTGTGGTGTGTGAATGTGTGGCATCTTTCCGTGTGTGTTTGTGAAGTGTGGGGGGAATGTGTATATAGTGTGTGTCCTTGGTAAGGTGAGTGTCTGTGTACACGTGGGTTTTCTATGTGTGTGCATGTGTGTGTATGTGTACATGTGTGTGTGTTTCAGGTCAGGCGTGGTTGGCAGGGGACAGGTGGCAAGTGGCAGATGGGGTGCTGGCAGAGATGGAATCTTGGAGGTGACAAGGCAGAAGTAGGAGGCAAGGAGGACTCTGAACTGCTGTGCTCTGAATGCTGGTCCCCGTGCAAATTCCTATGCTGAAAGAGAATCTCCAATGTGACAGTAGGAGGAGACAGGGCTTCAGGAGCTGCTTAGGTCAGGAGGGTGGCGCCCTCGTGGACTGGATGAGTGCCCTGATGAACAAGGCCTGAGGAAGCCTGTCTGCCCTTTCCACCTAGTGAGGGCACAGCAGGAAGGCGCCATCTAGGAAGAAATGGACCCTCACCAGACACTGAATCTGCTTGCACCTTGACCGAGGATTTCCCAGCCTCCAGAAGTGTGAGCAACACATTTCTGTTGTTTATATCCTACCCCACCTATAGTAATTTGTTACAGTAGCCTTAATGAACTAACCCAGGAACATTCCCTGCTCTCCTCACAAATGTGAACTGCAGGAACTGGGTGGGCTCTGGGCTCATACCCTCCACTGCATGAGCTCTCTGGAGACAGGGTGAGTCTTATTCATGGCCTCACCCCAGAGCCCACAGGACACTATCCCCTTCCCTGAGCACCCGGGCTGAGTGACAGGGGTAAAGGCAGTGAGGGCCCAAGCGGGGAAGTTGCTGGTGGGCCCAGCAGGGTGTGGGACCCTTGTGGGCAGGTTGCAGAGGGGGCTCTGCAGTGGGGCAGGCTTTAGCGGGCAACGGTATGAGAGGCCTGGGCCATCCTTCCTGAGCTCTCCTTCACGGCCTTGCCCTGGGTGGCTCCAATCTGCTTGTCTGGCTGTCAAAACAGTTACAGCCTCTGCTGGAGGCCAAAATGCCAGTTTGAAAGGTGCCCTAGGGCCAGGTAGGGGTTTCTGTGAGTGGATATGCTCACCTTTAGATCCAGAAGTCCAGACCACATGGAGACTCCTCTGAGCCACACAGTACTCAAAACTAACCACATTTAAATGCCTGCTAAACTGCTGCGTGGGTTCCAGAGCACTCTGCAGGTGGAGGCATCAGTGCCTCTCTGACCCTGACTATGGAGGCAGATGCTACCTGCCCTATGGACCTCCTGGTGCTGCCCTCCTTCTATGTCTCGTGACTTTAGGACCCCTAAATAGTAGCAGCCCAGCCCAGTCTCTCCTGCATGCCCCCAGGAAACAGGAAGGACCATGACAGCTTCAGCCCACACCAAGGGAGGCTGGGAACATATGGGAGTGAGTGAAGCCCTGCTGAGGATACTCCAGTTTGGGTGGGGCACTAAGTCCTGGAGCTTTGGGGCTCCCCAATGTCACATAGTATCCCTTCTACTCTGTCTCTTCTTGTCACTCTACCAGCCCACCTTCCCCACGGCCACCAGCAGTGCCCGCATGGGGCAAACCACCATTGCATCTAGAAGGCCAGTGCTGCATACATAGCTTGCCAAGGGTTCCCAGCAATGCTGCAGTGGCAAGGCAGGAGCGAACGCCAGGCCAACCATATTCCTCACCCAGCGTCCCCTCCCCACACCTCGGGCACCCTGCAGCCACACCTTTGCTGCTCCCCTGCTTGGCATGCCTGCCCTCCTCACCACCTCTCCAAGTCCTTCTCATCCCCAGTGGCAGGAGACCTTAACCTTTTCGTGAGCTAAGGACCCCTCTGGCAGTCTGGTGAAGCCTATGGACTCCTTTGAAGTGTGTGAAATCAATCACATAGGATGATAAAGGAAATACTGAGTACTGAAATAAACTTCATTGATATGCATGCTTCCTTATGAACATAATAAATGGCGAGAACTAGCAAGAGCTCTAATAACTCCTGTGACAGGGGAACAGTGATGCATGCAAACTTCAAGATACCTGCAACACCATGAGGTGACAGGAAAGCATCTGTGAATTGTTGGTGGTAAAGCCATAGGCACTGCTAAGAAGACTGAGTCATTGCCTATACTCATCGTTGAAGGACCAATCAGACGTCCTTCAGTGCTATGGACGAGTCAGTGGTTACTGAAGATAAAGGTGCAACATTTTCCAGCCCTGTCTGCTGACCTGCTGAATTCCATCCATGGACTACTCAGGGGGCCTCATGCTAAAAGGTCAGCCCTAATTCCACAGCCCTAACTCCTGAGAGCTCCAACCACACCACGGTGGGCTCTTTTCTCGACACCTGAGTTGCCCTCCACAGCCCTAGGCACTTTCAAAGTGCAAGGCATGAACCCCAAATGCTGATCGGATTGAATTTTCCTACACCCATCATCTGAAGTGAGGTGAGAGGCTAGGGGACCACTGCTTCCCTCAGCCGCCTGGAAGCTGGTGGCTGGACACTCTTAGGGCCTGCTACGTGGGCCGCGACTGGCCGCTGCTACAGTGGCTGGTGACTTATGTTCTCCATACGCTGTGCCTGGAGTGCTCCCTCTCTCTCTTGGGCTTTACCAGCTCCAGAAGTTAGCTCGCCCTGCACTGGGCGAACCTATGGGTGCTCTGGTTGGCTGCGCCAACTCCATCACCAGCCCCTCAGGGCAAGGCAGGTCTGAGCCTGCAGCTGACCACAGGGCAAGGCCGTGCCAGGCCGGGTACCAGGTGTGTCCTCACCTGCTTCACGTTGTAGCCGGTCTTTGCACTGGTCTCAATGAACATGACGCTCAGTTCTTTGGCGCGCTGCTCCCCCTCCTCGATGGTTATCTGCCTAGAGATGAGGGGAAGGTGGGAAATCAGTTCTGCAGAGGAGCAGCCCCTGGCAGAGATGAGGAGGGACCTGCCCAGCAGGGCAGAGGGAGCCCACTGGGCCCCTGGTCAGCCCTGAAGACAGGCTCTGATTCCAGGGGCCCGTCCCGGGTGCCAACCACAGTCTGTTAGCACAAAGCGGCACCAGGGAACAGCAGGACACTATCCCCTCCCTCTACTCCTTCCTTTGTGTCTTCTCAGCTTCAATTAGGCCCCGGGGCAGGCCTGGGGTAGGACTGCCCCGTACCTGCCTTTCCCAATAGTCACTACTGCAGAACCTGTGTTTGTGAAGGGATTCAAGCCACACAGTGCCACTCTGGGTAGTATTATCGGCCACATTTTCCCTATGAGAACACTAAGGTTAAAAGTGTCTCCCCCAAGGCCACAAAGCTACTTAGCAGAGGGGGCTCCACAATGCGGCAGGCAGAAGTGGGTGAGGGTATGAAAGGCTTGAGTACTTTGAGCCCAGTTTCCTTCCTTCGAGGACAGAACTTTAGTAAAACAGGCTCTAATTCAGATGATTCCTCAGGTGGTCAAGGGACGCTGCGACAGCCCTCCACTACTTGCTGGAGTCCACGGCCTGTCACTTTTTCTGCCTAAGTCAGGGTCATGTGAGATGAGTGGACAATGTACATACATGGCACCTCAGTTCTCCCTGTGCACGGAGGGCAATGTGGAAGAGCCTCTTTAGAGAGCCTCGCGCCAGATGCAGCCACAAACCAGGCTGAGCAGGCCCCGGCTGTAGGTTTGTGGTCCGGATGCTCTGCATGCACACACCTAGGGCCCGGGGCATTTGCGCCCCCACGCACACTGGTGTGGACAGTTCACAGGCACAGACTGTTTGCAGTGCACACACTGGGGCCCAGGGGACTGCTGTGTCTGGGGCAGTGCTGTGGCCTTACACCGTGCACTGCTGGGCCAAGCCAGGTGCACAGAGCTGTGTGCAGACAGCACACGGAGGAGTGCCTGGCCCCTGCCTGGTGGTGGAAAGCAGGCCTTCACAGATGAGACACCCATGGGTGAGAGTCTACCACGTGTTCTCAAAGCTCCTAGTGTCTGCAGGGACCTTTCCCAGATGCATGGCGAGACACACCACCCATGCACACCAGAGCTCCCTGTCCAGGAGCAGTTAGAGAGGAGTGGAGGGTAAGCACCCTGCACCTGTGTGCCCTCGCACCTACCTCTTATCAGCCAGGTCCGTCTTGTTGCCCACCAGCATGATAATAACATCACTGCCCCTCTCTGTCCTGACGTCGTCAATCCACTTAGAGGTCTGCTGGAAGGAGTTGAGATCTGGAGGCAGAAAGTGGGGATTAACTGAAAGGCAGGGCCGACCACCAGCAGGAAAGGGGAAGGGGAGGTATGAGCCAGGAGCAGGAGGGAGGGTGAGCGTGTGCCCTGATACCCAAGGAGGGGTTTGAGCTCAGTCAACAGATTAGCCAGGTTGGGCCTTTCAGAGGGAACCCCGCCCTGCCCAGCCCTGCGGAGCTGCTTGCACTGCTCAGCCACCCTCTGTGGGAAAGGCGTCACCCCATCTGGAAGGTCACAGTGTTAGGATTTGCCACATGGAATAGTGGCTTTAGGGGCCCACCTGAGAGTCAGACCTGACTCTGGGGACTCAGTGGAGAGTAAGAACTGGATCACACATGTGTGTGCATACACACACATATACATGTACACACACACACACACACACACACACACACACACAGAGAACTTGGCGAGTTTGGACAGTGAGGAGTAAGCAGAGGAGAACACAGCAGTCCCAGGGAAGGAAGGGCCCTACTGAGTGGCCTTCCCACCATGGGAGCTCAGGGAAGTCTGGCAAGGCCAGAGGGGTTTCTGAAGAGAACCGTCAGGCTCTGCAGGAGAAAGGAGGGAAAAGGTGGCCCCAAGGCTAGAGTCGGGGGAGCCAGGTGCACTCAAAAATCCAGGAGAGACAGGGCCACTTCTGGGCAGCCTGACCTCCCTCAGCTGCCGTGACAGGCCTTGTGGGGCCGAGTGGCCATAAGGCAATGCCCACCACTTGGCAGTCTGCACGCCCAAGGGGAGGGGCGGCGCCTGTCCTCAGAAGTCTCCGTTTCCCACAGCCTGGTCTCCCTTTTGATGCCATGGGAACCCAGGTCCTTGCGGGCCCAGTCCCCACCTGCGCTCAGGTGTGGAGCGGACCTGTGGTCAGCAGAGGAGTGGACAGAGGGGGACGGCAGCAGGCTGGGTGGTGGGGCACGTGCCAGCATGGGGGTACGCATGCTTCCCAGTGTGATTTTAGGGCTGTGGACAGCACCTGGAGAGTCCACCCACTTCAGGGTAACCACAGCCCTGAGGGCTTACCAGGTGTGTTCCAAGACACCAGCCTTGCAGCTCTGGCCCCTCATCGGCCCCCAACCTCACCCCGGCCCTGTGCGCCCTTGAGGCTGTGCAGTCCTGTTAAAACACCTGCTTTGGCCAGAAGAACCACAGTATTGGAGAAGAATTACCAGTCTACTGCACTTCTAGACCCCCTTGGCCGACCTTCCCAGGGAGCCTGCACCCACAGCTCTTGGGTCGGGGTTGGCCCAGGGACCAGTGTCTTCTCCCATGGTGATACAAATTCAGAAGTAGCTCCTGAGGGATCTGACTGCCAGGAAGAGGGAGGATGCAGAGAGGCTGGAGCAGGACCAACCTTGTGAGCATCGGCTCATACCACATGCTGATGCCTGCTTTGAGCAGAGCCATCTTGGCCCTGTAAACCTCTGCTTGTCACAGAAGGGTGGGGGCAGTGGGAAACATGTTGGTGTTCAAAAGCAACTCACCTCTGTCCCCTGCCTTTCTGCATTCAGGGTACAATCACTCACACACACATGTGTGCACATACATGCATACATACACAAACACATGCATGCACACAGGCCTGACCAGGGTCACACCTGGGCCCTGGAGCCTCTATGAGCCACCCTCCCTTAGGCACAGACCCTCACTTACTTGTGATATCATACACCACCACAGCCACTGTGGAGTCCCGGATGTAGCTGGGGATCAGGCTGCGGAACCTCTCCTGGCCGGCTGTGTCCCAGAGCTGCAGTCGCACCTGTTTCAGGGAGGGCAGGACCATGGGCAGAAGAGTCAGTGGGGCAGTGAGGTCCTCCTGGTCCAGGGGGCTGGGAGAGCCAGGCTCTGCAATGCTGGCACCACCAGCTCCAGCCCTCAGGATGGGCAGGGGCTCTCAGTAGTGCCCAGCTAAGGATTCTAGGGGATAAGCCCGAAGGAGCCCTCCCTGTCCCTCCCAGTCCTAAAATTAGGTGCTCACCGTGCGGTCCTCCAAGTACATGGTTTTTGACAAGAAGTCAATCCCAATGGTTGCCTGTTAGAGAAAAGCACAGAACGGTCAAAACCGAAAGGTCTCATGCAAAGGGGCAAAAGCCTGGTGACTGCAGATGGTAGCATAACCAGCAAGAGGGGACGCTCATATCAGTTCTAATGTGGCCTTGCTGTGTCCTCCCTGCCCCTCCACCCACCACTCAGCGGCCCTCTCAAGACGGATCAAGCTGAGGAAAGATGGAGGTGGTGGCCTTTACAGGGCAGGAGCCTCTCTGGAAAGGGAAGGTACTTTGGGAGCAGTGAGAGCACAGCGGTGAGGAGGCCTCCCCAGGGGCAAGGTCACTGAGGCCACTCAAAGTACATACCTGCCCCTGCCCCGCCGACGTGGGCTCCCTGCCTTGTTCCCCTTACCACCTAACCTGCAGCTTCCAAAGCCTCTTCCCTCTGCCCTGAAGCATGGGCCTGGGCTCAACACTGGCCTGGGGAGGGTGGGAGGCAGGGGACAGGAGCAGGCAGCTTGCTGCAGTGTGGGGGCAAACACCAGCATAGTTTTTCTCAGGTGGGGGCACTGCAGACCACCCAGAGTGGCCTCTCGCTGGGAGGCACCATTGGCTCCTTTCTCCCTAAGCCAAAACTGTAAGCTGTCACCAGCTGCCCTGTGCCACACCTATGCCTCTTCTACCCTGGCACCTGTGAGAGGCAGCCAGCCTTGTGGTCGGATGGCCAGGACCCACCACTCACTTGCTGTGTGGCCTTAGGAAAGCCACCCAACCTCTCTGGGCCTCACATGCACCCAGTACCTGTGAGAAGGACTAAGAGGCTGTCAATGTAAAATGGAGGTATCACTGCTGCGTAATCAGTAGTAACAAGGACCTGGACGTGCCTGAATGTCCAGGGCGCTAAGTACAGTGTGTTCATCTATGTGATCAGAATCCTTGGCAGCTGTTAACAATCACATTCTCAAAAAATATTTAAGGATTTGGGGAAATGGCCATCCAGTTTAAAAAAAAAACAGGTTATACAACATCAAGTGGCGAGTGATCCCCATTCGATTAACTCAAGCAGATCTATGAGTGTTTTTCATGTTTTCCTGGACACTGAAGTGAAGGAAATCTGCTAAGTGTTAACGGCATCACAGTCTGGGTAGTGGCAGAACATTCTGCTTCCTTCGTTACACTTTTCTCTACTTTCCACAATAAACATATAATAGTTCCAAAATCAGAAAAAGTCCTTGGAAATAAAGTTTAATAAATAAGTTTAATTGTGTGGAATGTCATGATTTCTGACTGCAGAAAAAATACAACCTAGAGAAGCCCAAGAATATAGAAGAGCTCATGTCTCCAGGCCCTCCTAGGCTGAATGCAAAGGTGTGCACCAATGTATGTGCACGGGTGTGCATGTTTACACAGTCACACTCCCACCTCATTCCACAAAGGGCTGAGCGTGGCTGCACCCTCCTGGAAGCTTGCTTCATAATACAAAGATATGGAGGGTGGAGGGTCATTCTACGATCTGGAGCATTCGATGCTAGAATGTGGGCACTAGACGAACACTTTAGACACAACCCAATCAATCCCTTACTTTGCAGATGAAAGAATAGACCAAGAAGTCTAAAGGACATGCCTAGTGTGACTTCACTCATCAGCAGCAGGGCGGCGAAAATCAGAACTGCAAACCTTGGTAGCACTTGGCTCTTTCCAGCTCAGCCTCGCATAGTATAGCCACCAAGGAACAAATCTGCAATGACCAGTGCTTGCGGAGTCAGACTTTCTCCTTCACGGGTCTATTTTAGATTGACAATCCTTGTCTTCTGATTCCCTTATGGAGAAATGTGATAGCAGGTAGAAGTCTCTCAACTCCTCAATGCTCAATAGGCTCCCCAGAAGTAACATGCTCCTTTTGTAGAGTCACCCCCGAACAAGAACCAGTTGTATGAGCTTAGGACTGGTGGCAGGGACTGCTGGTTGTCCCCAGTGTGTAGTCTCCCTTTCTATAGCAATAGAACTCTGAGCACGTAGATGGACTCAGGGCTGCTCTAAATAAAGACCATATTTCTCAGTTTTCTTCGCAGCTGGGTGGCTCCGTTCTGGTTAATGGGATGTAAAGGTGATGTAGACATCTTTTAGGACAGGTCTTCCATGGGTAGGGAGTGTCCAAAGCTGCTCCCTTTCCCAATGTCAGGTGGGGATGAGTCATCCAGATGAGGTGACAGAGTAGCGATGACATCAACAAAGCCTGACTCCCTGACCCTGAGAAGCTACCTCAGCAGCCCTGGACTGCTCACAGCCAGATTGTTCTGTGAGAGAACTAAACTTCTATTTTGTTTAAGTCACTGATACTTCGGGTTTCTGTTAATATAGCCTAACTAACAAGCAAAGAACCATGGAGAAACGTATTCCTCAAAGGTAGGCGCCTGATGGTGATGCTACTGATGACTGTAACGATGACGACCCCATCACACTTCACATGTTACAAGGCACTTCTGCTTCCATGAAGGGCAGAGAAGTCACCAGATGACTCAACAAGGAATTGCGCCACTTGGATGAAATCCCAGCAAAGCTCAACCCAGTGGCCTTCATAACCATAAACTCCACTTACTGAACATCCACGTACTTTCTCTCAAATCCCAACAGTCTAAGCACAGAGGCGGCAAAGAGGAACCTGAATGAGGCCAACATCTTCTCCAGCTCTCTCTTAATTCCTGCTCCCAGCTTCCTCATTGGAGAAACCTCTGGTCCCGTAACTGTCCACTCTCTCAGATCTGTTCTGGCCACACTCTCCACCTGACCGGGCCACTGAGCCACTGAAGAACTTCCAGAGCTGTAGAGATGGCATCAAAGCACAGGCCTTGTCTCTGGGTGTAACTGAGCCCTCAATTCTGCTTAAAAACATGTTCCTAAGTTTTGCTTTCAACAATGGCTGAGTGGCTTGTATCAAACAAATCCTCCCACAGAAAACTATTTTAACATCTGGAAAAATACAAGAAATAGCAATTTGCAAGCACCGAAGAGTGACCAAAAGCAGGACAAGGCAGGGTACAGTGGCTCAGGCCTGTAATCCCAGCACTTTGGAAGGCCAAGGCGGGAGGATCATTTGAGCCCAGGAGTTTGAGAGCAGCCTGGGTAACATAGTGAGACCTCACATCTAAAAAAATAAAAAAATAAAATTTAATCAGGTGTGGTGGCGCCTGCCTGAAGTCCCAGCTACTTCTGAGGATGAGGGGGAAGACTCACTTGAGCCTCGTGGGGCTAAGGGTGCAGTGAACTGTGAGGACACTACTGCACTCCAGCCTGGTCAACAGAGCAAGACCATGTCTCAAACCTCCCCCCACCCCCCCTACACACAAAAAAACAGCAGGTAGGGGTTACAATCACTGAAGGAATGGAAGAGAACTAGGTAGATTCTACATCAAACCAATACCTCCTGAGGAAACTCCCCAGTCCTACCAAATTAAAAGAACTTTCAAAACACTTTGGACTCCACTGAAACCCCAGAAAGGCTGGCTTTGGGGGGAACAATATAATCTCAGGGCTGAGGGTTACACCACAGGACCAAGAGAAAACCAGCATAAATCTATTGTTGTGGTCTGAATGTGTCCCCTGCAACCTTATCAAATGCTGAAACTTAATCCTCAATGTGACAGTATTAAAAGGCACATCTTTTGGGAAATGATTAAGTCATGAGGGCTCTGACCTCTTGAATGGGATTAGTATCCTTATAAAAGAGGCTTAAGGGAGCTCCCTGGCTCCCTTCTGCTATGTGAGGACACAGTGTTCGTCCCTTCCACCACTGAGGACACAGCATGAAGGTGACATTTCTGAAGCAGAGAGCAAGTCCTCACCAGAGGCAGAATCTGCTGGAGCCTTGATCTTGGAAGGAAATCCCAGGCTTCTGAACTGTGAGCAATAAATGTTTATTGCTTATAAATTACCCAGCCTAAGGTATTATGTTACAGCAGCCTGAATGGACTAAGACATCTATCTTAGCAAGGTCCATATATGGTAACTAAACATCCCCTAAAAAATATTAACTGCCCATTATTTAATTGCCTATTAAAATAAAACAACACTCTTCAGAGGAAGGTAACAAAATCCAAGACTATAACTTCTCATTCATGAGGTCCACTGTACAATAAAAAAGGATAGAAATGTGAAGCAGAATTCAAGCCATAATGAAGGGAAGTAACTCAACACATCCCTACATGACCCAAAGGTTGAATTAGCAAAGACTTTAACTCTTATAATAGGAGAAAAAATATTTTAAAAAGGAAACACAATTGGCGATTGCCAAGAGATTTATGAAAATTCGAAAACAAAACCCAATGGAACTTTTAACACTAAAAACTATAATATCTGAAATAAAAATGCATGGGCTTTAGATAATAGTAGCTAGGAAACTGCAGAGGAAAGGTCAGTGAACCTGAAGACAGGACAAAATAAACTGTTCATACTGAAGCACAGAAGGAAAAATGAAGCAATACAAATAAAGAGAGCTCCAAGCACTCTTAGGACAGTATCAAGTGAGCGGATATACATCCATTTAGAGGTCGGGCACATTGGCTCATGCCTGTAATCTTAACACTCTGGGAGGCCAAAGCTGGTAGATCACCTGAGGCCAGGAGTTCGAGACCAGCCTGGCCAACACAGTGAAACCCGTCTCTACTAAAAATATAAAAATTAGCTGGGTGTCTTGGCAGATTCCTGTAGTCCCAGCTGCTCAGGAGGCTGAGGCAGGAGACTTGCTTGAACCCAGGAGGTAGAGGTTGAGGTGAGCTGAGATTGTACCACTGCACTCCAGCCTGGGCAACAGAGCGAGACTCCATTTCAAAATAAAACAAAATTAAAAATGCAATTAGAGTCTCAGAAGGACAGCAGAAACAGATGCAAGCAAAAAACATTTTTTTAAGAATAGCCTCCAATTTCCTTAATTTAATTAGAAACATCAACCCATAGTTGCAAGAAGTTCAGTGAATCTGAAACAGGATAAATCTGTAAAAAAAACAAACCAAGGAATGTCATAGTCAAAATGCTGAAAACCAAAAAT